AGGGGTCACTTTATGGATACAACTGCATTGTCTAATGGTAATTACAACATGTATCTGCCATAAAGTCCATTTTTAATGATGCCTATAATGTTAAATTTTTGTAACACCGAATTATTATTATTTTTATTAATTATTGAATTAATTCAATATGTTTTATTTTATTATATGTTCAGAAGTGTTTCTTTTGGATTCTGGCCCTTTATGTATGCTAATAAACCTCTATCATATATAGTAGTGCAGCAACAATTCATGACCTCAGTAATAAATATATCATTTTATTTACACATTTCTGTCTCCAAAAATGGAACATTATTAGCTTTTTTAATATAGATGATATGGTGATAGATAATATGTTATGTTGAATTGCAAGAGATTGTGCAGGTATATTTAATAAAGTAGCCACTGAGTGTTTATTAATAATAATTTAAATATATTTTACAAAAATGGTAAAATGAACATCAACAATGCATGGGAGCTAAGTGGGCTTGGTCTATTGTCTTTATGTTCATATTGTCTTGAGATTTATCTGTATCCAGTATGACGGTGTCTCCGCTGTTTGCAGTAATGGAAATCCATTTCTACCATTGTCTGGGAAGGAGGAAAGGACTGCTGAGGGGAAATGTTAGTTTTTCTATCACATGTGTATCTCTTACTATGTCCATCCATTGTTTAACCCTACTTCCGTACCAATTTTAGTTATTGCTGGGTGGAAACCTTGATACAATTTTAAAAAGGATTTCAGATTTTGTCTCTTTACGTGTGCTGACGTGTGCTGGTAAACAACTTTAACCACACTCAAGCCTTTTATATCAAACTTCATGTAATTATTTTTTATTTTGGGAAACAGTCAAGAAAAGGGTACTTAGATTGTGATTAACTCAAGGTCTTCACAACTACAGCAAAAGATGTATCCGTATATGCCAGGATGAATGAGCACTTGTGTGTGTGTGTGTGTTATGTGTGTGCTGCTTTAATTTCATGTCGATGACAACCAAGGTTTCAATAATTCAGCTCTCTGCCCCTGTGATGTTTGACAAATAGAGGCCACATCAATACAAACTGCCAAAACCTGATGACAACACAATCTGAAACACTGTCTTGACCTTTTCCTCTCCCACCTTCATTTCATTTTACGATTCTTGTTTTTCGAAGCATTTCTCTTTTATTGGACAGTAGACAATGATAAGTGACAGCGAGAGTGCTTTAAAGGGAAAGCAGATGCCATGACAACACAAGAACATAAAATATACAGTGTTCAGTTATATGACTTTCACTCTATGGCCAAAACCTTTTTTCTTTACTGCTGTTGTGTTTTTGTTTCAGGTCTTCATTTGTCATTGTTTTTGACAAATAAAATGATTACTGTAGTTTATGAAATATAATAAATGTTTATAGCTTAAACAACCCAGCAGTATTTAAAGTAGTTACACCGTTATAAGCTACAACATAAAAATGCTAATCTATAATAATAAGAGCCTGAATGCAGACTTTTAGTCGTATTTTTAAGAACATTTGGCTGATAATGTTTACTTTTAAATAAGATTTTGTAATATCCTAAATACTATTTTTACATTGTTGCATTCCACCGCTGCAACTAACTGCAGCTTTCAGAGTAAGTAAATCAAACTGAGAGCAGTTGTCATTGATCATCCACAAGAAGGCTGATAGCAGGATCATCCTAAAGGTCACAATCACATTCTAATGAAGACAGTCAATAATAATTCAGTTGCTCTTGCATATAATGTCAGGATAGATCATTTTTTGATGTAGATTCATTGTAGACACATGCCCTATATTGCACAGTAAGGTACAGCAGACACAGAATACATTGTAGAAGGGAACCAGATATAGGTTTATTCACATTCAACGAGTAACAGCTCAGGGTAATTCATTCAAGCGCTGAGCTGGAGCAGTGTTTGCAAATGTTTTTTAAATTACAACTGGTTTGACTGGAGAAAGTAATACAAAGATAATCACAGTTTCTCACCATAAACTGAATTATTACAGCGAATACAATATTAGCACCGTTTCACCAAAAGATAATGCTAACACTTTTTGAAATATAATGGCAGCAGGAGAGAAAAATCATAAAACAGTATGTTTTTTTACACTGTAGGGTTAAAATCTATTGAAATCTTTTTTGATAAAAGAAAAGGATTTGTGTGTTCTATTTCTGATAATGTTATCATTTAAAACAGCATAAACTGAGGATAATAATTAACAATCGTCTTTTAGATATACGTATCATCTACCTACAATATCAGTTCCTTTATTTCTGACAGCATGAAGCAGTGTCACACTAAATAACCCTAAATAACCAGAAAACAAGAATAACATTTATTACTATCATCAGTTGAGGAGTATGTAAGTGTTAGTCCACTGACTTTGTCCAGTAAGCTTTTATATTAAGTTTCTGGAGAACACATCTTTAAGTAGGTAGAGGAACGCGTTTCTATTTTTTGTCTAAATAAGGTTTCAGTTCTGTGTGTCCCTCTCACTGGGCAGTGTGTATCCATATGGCCTTGGGTCAAAATGACTGATATTTGTCATCATATGAGGAGGCAGAGAGCTGAATTATTGAAGGCTTGTTTTTCATCAAGGTGAAATTAAAGCCGCACACACAGGCACAACACAGTTCACACACACACACACACACACACACACACACACAGTCATTCACTCTAGCAAATTACTTCTGTGGAAAAACCTGGTTGGGACACAAAAAACTCCATTACATCAGGGTGCATGTGCGCTCACATATGTGTGTGTGTGTGTGTGTGTGTGTGTGTGTTTACCATACTGTATCATATTTCTCACTTTATTCCACCTACGTCCATTTTGGTGGATGGCAGAGCAATGATCAGCAGTCACGTTCAGTTGGCAGAAAGTGTTCCCCTTGGACCTTACTCTCTAAAAGGACTCTGTGACACAGAAAATATATGCAATCACAAAAACACACTTATTTTATTTATATTATTATTATTTATTTAAGGTACAAAAATTACTAAACGATATATACTGCATACGTGTAAAGGGATCAAAAAACCATTAGGTTGGTAATTATGCAACCATTCATGAATCAAGTCCTCTTCATGGATCATTATGAAATGACAATAGTCTTAATGACTCCTAAATGGAAATGTGCAAGGCCAATTTATCAGCAATTTTCAAGATCAAACATGCATGTAAGTACAGTAATCTGTGGTGAAGTACATATGGGGTAGACAAAAGTAAGTGGCTGCAGTTTTGTTTTTTCAGGGACCTTTGGCACCATCCAGAGGACGTTTAGAGAAGATGAGGGAGGCTTGAGTCTACAGTATAATCCTATGAAAGGAACAACTTGTATGACACAAGGCTTTTTTGTTGAGAATGCATGTATCTTTTGTCCCTGGATTAAGAACTTCAAAATGATTTTCTCTTTTGTTGACACAACAAACAGACAATGTGATGATGGAACAGCCGAGCAGTGAAGTTCTTAAGTCTGAAATATTATCTTTGAATGGAAAATGTAAGAAAATGAACAACAAATATTGCTCTTTAGGGTTGCATGATGGTAAATATGTTCAAATGATAATGGTACCTCCAGTTTCAGCAGATGATATTGCATTTAATAAAGAGATTGGTTAAATGTGTCAAGTGTATTGGAGTTCCCTTTTGCTTTGTAAAGTATTTTAATCTACACATTCACAGTTTGTATACTGGTGTGGTATAATGTTCACAGGAAGACGAAAGGCGTCTTTGCAGAAGCTGCACACCCAAGTGTCAACAGGAAGTGAAAACCCATGAAG